CGAAAGATAAATAAAAAATACGTAAAAAGTGAAATAAGAGCGTTTTACAGGGAGAGAGAGATAATAGCCGATGGGTGGAAGGCGTGGCGTTAAAAAATGTCTGTAAAATCACCGGGACACGAACTTCCGAGGAGTGACTCTCACTCGAGGCATTTAGTAAGAGGTAGACAGTCTCTAAATGGAGACGATGCCATTTGTCCTCACGCTTCGATTGTTGCCCACAACCAACGTTTCTAGGGCGAAAAGATCCAGGAAGAGCATCCTATATTTCTTGAGTAAAATCGAGGGGGTGAGAAAAACGAGGAACAAGGGGGACAAAAAAGGGGGAAGAGTCCAGGACTCTCGAGTATCGTCTATTCAATGGTATCGGATTCTCAACAGCCACATTGATAAAGACACTTGTGTGAGTATAATGTGTGTGGCTCGTATGATACCGAAAGGGGTGGTCTCCTCAAGCCAAAACAAATCCATGTTCTACCCCAGAGAAATGAAGAATTATCTCAAATTTGCCAACTTTTAGATGGATCAAATCACGCCCTCCAGAATATTTGAAGAGATATAAATATCCCACAATATTCAGAGGCTTCACTAATTTGTTCATCAAAAATTTAAACTATTCCCCACAATTCTCAAAAATAGTTGAATGGATTTCTACCACAACTTCCACAAACTCCAACTCCCTCAATTCAATATTATCACATCGTGTTTACATAATTGAAAAGGCAAATATAAAAATGTTGAATCTACTTTCTGACCGTATCCGTTGAATCCACCAAGTTCGTCTAACCATGGAGATTCATCCCCTCAGTGTACATCGATAACTCAAACCGACAGTGCGAGTTCATACAGATAGTGAGCCGAACCAACTGAAATCGTTAACAGGATTTCATCTCCTGTCTCACCTCAACAATCCCATTCCCCTGAAACTTGTCAGAGAGGATGACTGGAATATCCCACTCGTATTCGATTCACGAAGACATCTCCAAGTTAGACCCAACCATTCATCCCAAAATCCCTCCTCCAAAAACTTGTGAAACATCTTAGAATTTTCATTACTCACTATTTATTTCCCAAACGCACGTACTCCCCCTATCATTACACCGTTAATAAAAAATAAAAATTATAGTCCGTACAAGACCGGATTCAGCCGAGTCACGATAGGATAAATTATTAACGCCCTAGTAGACTTCCGACATTTCGTCCTCTTGTCTCAACAAATAGAAAGTCCAACCGTATATTTTCCACTTTGCGTATATCTTTTTCATTGAGTCAATTCGTGTCCGGCCTCATTCGAGGCTTTCATGTGCGATCCCATGCGGAAAATATCAGCCGGAAATACCCACAAAACGTACCCATTAAACGGGTGAAAGGAAAAGGACAGATTTGTAATTCATCATCACCCCAATTTTTCCCTGGAATGCGTGTACCATCTGATGCTGCTTATGACCATTCTTACTCAACATCTCAAGTACCTGATGATTTCCTCAATTCTCAGTTTCTAATCTATGTGAGAATAACGCAGAGAAAGTTTCACCGACGATGAAAAATCCGTTACACAGATAATATCGACATCATCCTCATTTTTTAGAATTAAAAAATCGAAATCCAGATGCTCTGAATATCTTTCATCTTTCAATTCAAATTTATGTAGATTACTCGACACAGTTCTCCACGAATTCCACTAAACCATAAATTCACGAATTAAAGATTAAATCAGGATGTAACGTAAATCATTAAATTCCAGGCATGGCATGAGCCAAGTGCACTCGTTCTACCCTTTCAAAGGCATTGAGATGCCTGACATGAGTGGTGAGTATGAAAAGCCGTCCATTTTCCACCCTCGTTTATCATCATTTTCACTTTTCCTCACGCGAGCACCGATTGCAACCATTAGAAAGAAAAAAAAAACTACAGCACAAACTTATCCCTCAGCAGCGATGGCAAAAAGTTTGTATTACCCATAAAATCACACGACGAATAATTAAAAAACATTAGACTTTATAAATTTTTTTCTTATCTCATTGAACCCGGAAAATTTTATCGCACGGAGGAATTTTTTCCCGGAATTAAATGAATCGATGAAAATGGCAAAAATAAATTTCAGTGAAAAAAAAAAATCATCTCGATTTTTCTTCCCTTTCGCTGACTGCACATTTGATTCCACTTAAAATGCATTTAATTTCCCCGGCAGTCGATTATTTGAGAAACCAATGCGATCCTCAGAGAGATTTCATCTGACCAACTCAAGAATTCGAATCAGTTGAAATGGTATGAACGAAGGGACAAAGGTGGATAAGAAAAAAATATCCAATCGTACAATCAAGTCACGTATCAAAATGGAAAAGGGGTTGTGGTATTACACAACAGTAGGAGGCAAACACTTGTTTTCTCGTTTTGGGAATTTGATATTCGAGGTACGTACACAATGCGACAAGTAGGCAAACGTGAAAGAGCAGGTTGGTTATAGAAGAATGAAAGCCCCAGTTTCTATCGGTATGAGGAAAGAAGGGGACGAGAGATTGGACAGTGGTGTGGAGGTTTAGCAGATCCGCACTTTCCTTTGGTCTGTTGCCAATGTAAAGGAATCAAATCAACACAGTACGTGATAAGGGGGAAGGGGGGGGATTAGAAAATCGAGAAGATCTACGATTTCGATAAGAATTTCTCAAATAAAATCATCGAATCAATAATTCGCTTGCGAAGTCATTAACCAGGACAGATAAATTTTTTTCGAAGTCAGTTTTACCCCGATTTTGCGAAATCCGAGGAAGAAATTGATTTTTTCAAAGATACCTTTTTTCTAGCTCTCATCTTTTTCTATAAAAAATATTTATGTACAAAAATCGTTATGTTCATTTGATTTCAAGATATAGGCTAAAAACTGGTCTCGAGAAAAAAAAAATTCACTCATCCCAGTTTATCACTTCGCCACTGAATCCGCCGAATCATAAATAATATTTATATAATGCCACAAAATTCGGTCTGCCCTTAATCGAGAAAGACAAAAAATTCCACACCAAAGTGAATAGTGAAAAAATTTTAACGTGATTCAAAGAAAATGGTTCAATCAAATTGGATTATTCTGTATACCAGTGGAGGCCAAAGTGCGGTCAGAGTTTAATCGCACATAATTGCAATTTTATCATCGGTTATACAGCAACTGGTATGATCATAGTTTAAAAGGGGTTGCGGGGACAGACGGAGAGGAGGGGGTACGTGTGGTATTTTTCAATGCTGGATAGTGGACTAATCGAGGATAATTAAAATTGGCATGTATTTCCCATTGGAGGCCATGATCCACAGACAGCGAAGAAAAACGAGAAAAATCAAATACACCCAGCAAATATACTCCAAATATGATTAAACGAAGAGCCCTAATGGCGTTATTCCTCCGACAGAAACAATTAAAATCTATTGATACGATAAAATGTCATCGGTAGTATAAAGTTTAGGATTAAACTGTCCACAATTCTACAAACTTGGACAATTCCATATGTGAATAGAGACAAGTTACGCTTCACCAGGTTGTACCTGATATATTTATGGAGTGACAGTCGTCCGAGCGTCATGTCCACCCATTTTGTCCACACATGCACAACACATCTTTGACTAAAAATTCCCAATTGGGCAATACTGTTAAACAAAAAATAAAAGGTACCGCCATCGAAATACTGTAAATAAAAAATCCAACAAAAATTTACTGCCACGATCAAGTTATTTATTGGCAGTGCAGACGAAACAAAGGGCCAAATCCCGTGCAGAAGCGTTTTTCATCGTCTCTTGGTGATCACCCCACCCCTGCGGCATGGTTTATAACATTTTTTAAAATTCGATTGTACCACCTCGAAGCTAGTTGCCTGGATGACGCCCTCACCCTTCCTTCCACCAACAAAATCTCCCATTCCCATCCGTACCACCTACATCAAACTTCTCCCCTCCCTGGACATTGCCAATTTCGTTTTAATTGCGAGAGAGTTGACCAGAACGATTCCATTTTACCTCACATTTCCATGCGCGCACCGACCAAATAAATAAGGAAATTCAATTTTCAAAAAGAGAACTCACGATAAATCATAATAAACGAAATTCAGACTCTATTTTCCTTCCGAAATAACCAACATTTTTTTCATTCTCAATTGGTCAATTTTTTTCTCCGAATTTGATTGGAATACATCCATTTTTTAAATGGGAATTTTCCATTCGAAATGACGAATAAAATTCACGCACCAATATTATTAATTAAAAAAATGCTCATTTCCATTTTTTTTCCTCTCCAAAGGTGATTAAACCAAATTTATTGAATTCACAACTTCATCCCCGATTTTATCGATGAAAAAAAAATCAATCCCCAATTCGCTAAATTGAATCGTTCGATTTTTACAGAAACTGAATTTCCCATTAATACATTTCCACCAATATCCCTCTATATTGCGCTCGTCGAGGCATACCCGTGTCTAACGAGTGATATCCTTTTGATGTCGTCCACATCGAGTGAGTCCGCATGCCACAAAAAAAATTCAAGCCCCACAAGAATGAAAAACGAGAATAATAATAATAATTAAAAAAAAAATAAAAGGAAAATAGAAGAAAAAGCATCGAAACAAGCGACACTGTGGATAGCATTGTAACACGTCGGTATGCATAATAGGTTTATAAAAATTCATAGCGAGTCAACTGAGCCCGAGAGTATTCATAATAAACAAAACCCGAGAAACTGAGCGACAATGACGATACGTAGGATGAAAGAGAGTGAGATTTCAAATGGATAGAGACGATATAGAGGCGAAGCAGATGATGGGAATATGTTTTGCAGTGGTCTGCATGGCATAGGCGTCAGTTCCTTTGGCCGTACACCATCCAAAGCGCCTCCATTTACCTACCAAAAGGCTATCCCCCTTTTCTAGACTAAATTTTCTCCCATCCTGTCCAGATTTCAAAAGCCCCAAACCCTTTTACCCGACATTAATCCAGAATATAATTGAATTTTGTGTTCTCTCTAGTTCTCCTGACAAGATGGACTACCCTGGCCTCATCAAACACAACCACCGAGCTTGATGATGACGATGATGACCTGGACATGGACTTCGAGACATTCAAGAGCACAATAAAACGATACAGAAGATTGATACCTTACATAAGTCATTACGTAGCGAGTAATCACGTGAATCAGGGTAACCAGCACGATCCCAGTACAGGATTAAATTCCCACAGACTGATGCATGGACCACAGTCACAGCGATCCCCTGGCCACATAACTGCACTCGTTAACCAAGAAAAATTTGTCCCCTCAGTTCAATACGATCCTAAAGACATTGGAGGTGATAACGACTACTTTACACCTGTTCGATACAATAAGCCAAGTTACGAGGAGTACTACAGGGATTATGATCGTCGGCCAGTATATCAGACAGATATAACGAGCCACAACCATCAGGACACCAGATACTACAATCAGGATAGACCGAGACCCCAAACAAATCCGTACCACCACAACCAGAAGCACAAGATATCCAATATCTACCGCGACTATTTCCTCGATTATCAAAGGCCAGTTTCAATCCAGACAAATCAGGATTACTATCCCGTCGATGATTTCGAGTCACTCAAGTACGTGAAGATCGAGCCTCCACGCACCTACAAGCAACAGCACCAGTCCCAATCCCCTAGAGTTCAATCCCATCTTCAAAGAAGACCAATTTACCAATCGAATAACATCAACAGACCGATAGCAAACGAGAATATTATCAAGAGCTTGCAACTGACAAATCAGTTACCCGAGATTCTCAATAGAGATAACATCGACGCCAGTCTTAAAACACTTGCTGAGATATTAAGTCTTCTTCGAGACTCCAAGAAATCCGAGATTGAGCATTCTCATTTGTCAGAGCCAGTTGTTACTCAAAATGTACAAAGCTACAGTGACACAAAGCATCACTATCGTCCAAAAGTAGTGACGGAAACAAGATATCAAGCAACACCATCACCCCTAGTTGACACTGGGCATGTGAATCTCAACAGCCAAGTGTACAGGAATAATGGAAAATCCAAGTTGTCGGGTTACTCGGATTACGGTATTAAGAGTGAAAATTTCATAGAATATTATCAGCCTGTTGTTCAGGACATCGATGATAATGGTGATGCTCATGATTACGACACTAGACCCTACAAAATTGATGATGAGCAGGATTACGATACTAGGTCGTACGATATTGAAACAAAACCCTACAAAGTACCGACTGCTGACAGCAGTTATGGAATAAGTGAGAATGTTGATGAGGGAGAGGATAAACAAGTGGCAACAACTCCTCAGGCACCCAAGCACTTTCAACTTGCTGAAGGCTTCATCAGTGATGCCCTCAATATACCAACAATGGCAATCAAGTATGGTGCTACGAGGGGAAAACCAGGTATCGATTATCCAGCTTATGCTGTTATACCGGAAACTAATTTTAACTGCAAGGAGCAGAGGTATAAGGGATTCTTTGGCGATCCATCCACTAGATGCCAAGTGCGTATTGTTTTTTTTTTCATTCTGCCATTTTTCATTGTAATTTACGAGCCAATGATATTATTCCCAGTCAAACTCAAATTTCAGATTCTAACGTGATTATATTTTTTCTAAGTCCACGAATTGTGCATTTAATTTAATGTAAATTATTTGGATTAATCCGTTTGTTATTTAATTTTATTCAGGTCTGGCATTACTGTGACCTAAATGGTGGCAAATCCTCATTCCTCTGCCCCAATGGCACAATATTCAGTCAACAAGCTCTCACCTGTGACTGGTGGTTCAATGTCAAGTGTGAATCAACAACTCAACTCTACGTTCTCAATGAGAGACTGTACAAATTTATCCTACCAATCATGCCCAAGTTTCCCGAGGATTTCAGTGGTCCAGAAGTGGATCGTTATCTCGAGATGAAATTTAGGGAGATGGAGGCTAAGATGAAAGCCAAGAAATTGAAAAAGGCAATGGAGAAGAAGAAGCAGGAGAAGACAACCACGAGCACTGTCGAATAGTCCTGAGTAGTTGAGGGGGAAATAACAAGGGCCAATAGTGGATCTTGTTTCATGTTTCGTTGCCATGAATATCATTCTCGTAAATTCATTCGGAATTAATTTTTTTTTTTTCGCTATTTATCTCACTCCACTGAGTGTGAAGCACACGAAAACGGGTATGTCGATAATCAATAAGTATTTGTCTATTTCTCTAGTCATACTTGTATTTTTTCTTTGTTTCTTTTGTTATTTTTATGAGAGTGTACTTGATCCACCCCTTGAACTGCGCTATTCAGTACCTAACGATTGATTGCGGACCGATTATCTATTGATTGAGAGCAACGGTTGTATTTACTGTTGAAAAATGTTGAATTTTTCATGTTTCCTGAAACATCAACTGTCAGGAAACTTATTTTCTGAAAATTTCTGTTGAATTTCTTTAAATTTCAATTTCCTGAAAAATTCTACATTTTTTTGAACAGTTTCCTTCGGATTTCGCGGTATTAGTTATTCATCTCGGTGGAGGGTAGGAGTTTTCAAGAGTCTTCGGGACTTTGAAAAAGTTTTAAAATTCATGCAGTGATATTTTAAATGAAAATCTGAGGGGATTCAAACGTTTCTCAATGGATTTTTCTCGCGAACAGTACCTAATACACCTAAGTGTCGATGTGGAGATATTTTCATTCATTATTTATTATTTACTACGATTTTTTTTCATTTAATTAATTCGATCCCTATCGATGCTATTCCAGCATTTTTCGCGTAATTTAAATAATAAGAACCGACCGGAGATTATTCTTCGATTTAAATGATTAATAAATATCACTCACCCTTCTGGAATTCCTGGTGTAGAGGAACGTCTCTGCCACGTTTTTGTACGCCTCCTTGAACTCCTCCAGCAGCTGTCGATTCTGGAAATATATTTAGAATAAAATTGAATGAGTTTTATAATGTAGAAACAATTTGATTTTCAGATTTTTCTTTTTATTTACCTTTTCCTTGAGTTTTACAACAGTATGGGCACGATGAATTTCAAAGCCACACTCTTGACACGAAGGCTCTTCACAGTTTTCACACCAGAGCTTGAACTTTTGGTCTTTGTGTTCGTCACAGAAAATTGGAAGAACTACTAAACCAGCCAGTCCTGCATCCAGTGACGCCATTGTGTGGTCTTTATTCGTTTTGAAGACGTGCACCTGATATACAACAAAAATTGAAGAGACGATGAGAATAAAATAGAAACCAATGCATTGGTGAAAAAAATGGATTTCTCTTTGACCAATTCATTAATTCAGTCTCTGAAAAAATATCAATTAAAAACATTTACCTTGCCGAAACAGCTCTTGCAGTATATGTGTTTGCACTGTACACATTTGACCATTGCAACTTCCCCACACTCATGACAGCGTTCAGCAACAATAGTTTGCTGTGCCTTTGTCCTAAGTGACTTCTCGAAATTCATCCTAGGCTCGTTACTGTATCTCGGTTTCGATCTGTGGATATTCAACAGCCCCATAGCGTAAACATTGAGCGGTGGTTCAGCTATTTGATTGCTGGCAACTTCTGGTGGTGTATCTTTGCAGATGACACAGGCCTCGTGGGTTCGCACTTTCGAGCACGTATCGCAAATTGCGTGACCACATGATCGAGTCAAGGGCATCACACGCTTTCCCAATTCATAGTCTAAAAGACAGATTGCAAAACAATTCCATTTGAAAACTCAAAATAACTCCTCAGAGAATAAATAATGTCTCATCTAGAATGAGACATCGCCAATTTCCCTCACACAAAGAAAAAAATCGTCTTACAGGACTTGTCATGAATTTATTCGACCGCGAAAAATTTTTGTTTCTAAATTCTTGAGGTAAATAAGACATGAGTAATGGTCACGGCTTCCCCTTGATTAACAGAAATAAATTCGGTTGATATTTTCCGTGAATAGAAATAATTCATTTCGTTCAGGAATCGTACAGCAAAAAATGAAGATAACGCATAAAGAAAATCCATGACAGACAAAAGAAACAAGATGAAACCTCCTTTGTTCCCAGATGATTCCAAATGTAATCGTATCAAATTCATTTCCCAGCGGTCTAATTCCAAGAACGACTGGCGACACGAAACCAAAACAAACACCTGAGATCCAGCAAAAACCCACGTCTAACCGAATTTAATACGAGAAAAACCCCTTAGTAAAAATCCGAAGAATTTACGTGATATTTTCCGAGTAAAAATTGACAAAGAGCTCTGAATCCCCTCCCCAAGACAAGAATAAAACGTCGAATGTACCCCTTTGTTACGCCATAAACGCCACATACCTCTGATAGCGAACGTTCTTTTACAGAAGATGCAACAAATATTCTTTATCTTGACGTCGATGCAGCCGTGCTCATGGTCGTGGAAGGCTTGTCGATTCACGATTGTTCTCCTCGGTTTTTTCTGTACAATCGACATGGTCTAAATACCAAATTCACTTCATTAATATCGAGACTGATGTTGACTGAATGCCGGTCACCGGCACGATGGCACGAGGGAGAAACAAAAGCCTACGCGTCTCCCCTTGAAACTTTGTTTTCTTTATTCAGCCAATCGTAGGCTCGACGCAACGAGCAATCGGTGGTGGGGTGACAAAGGACTCCTAAGTAACGTCACATCAAAAAAATATTCATCTTCAAAATTTATAAACGAGTTGTTACCAATATCTTCACATTTTGTGTTTTCTGGAGAATTTTTTTGGGATTCTGGAGATTTCTCCAGAATTTCGGAATGGATTGACGTGAAAAAATGTTTCCCGCTTTTACGTTCTCATTATTCAATGGTTCGAAAATTTTGAGTCTTGTGCAAATTTTTGTCGAATGAAAACTTTTAATTGAAAATAAATTGAAATTTTTACCATTAATCCGACTTTTTAAATAAATTGATTTTTCAATAAAAACCGAATATCGAATGCAATTCGATTGTTCCCGGATCGAAGCCTGAAAATTGAAATAACTTGAATATTCAACACGAATTGAATTTCCCCGGTGTTGCAAAGAGCGAAATAATTTTTGCAAAATGATCCCGGAAGGTCTCGGTTCGCCAGAAAAATAAGGAGTGCCAGGTCATAGGTATTGTCTTCTCGAGTTTCAATTAACAGCTAATTACGATATGCACGAGGCTTGAGTGAAACTCCGGGAGAGGGCAGTGGGCTGGCGATTGGCGATGCGCATCGTCCCCGGGGAAAATGAACCAGGAGAAGAGGAGATAAAAAAAAAAAAGAAAGTAAGAAAAGGATTGCAAAGCTATGCGGCTTACCATCCGGGTCTAGGTGCGGCTCATAAGATCCGTTATGATTCCCCAGCGACATGTGCCGGTTCAACGGTGAGTGCCAAGTGAGTGAGGGAAAACCAAGAGAGAGGAATTCTTCACCGCAGGTGATAAAAAGAGACAATTGCCTGGACAAGTGTTTCTCCTGAGTACAGACCCTTCTAAAGCGTTCAATCATTTCTCCTGACTTCTGAAACTTCTCCACTTCTCCAACTTCTCTGACTTCTCCGACGTCCCCGACTTCCTGGTGCCCATCATCATCGTCAACATCCCATAATTAATAAACGCATGAGATATTTTTCCGGACCAACGACCACCGACAAACAACCGCTCGCTCCAGATTATTGAGAGTAAAAAAAGAACCTGGAGATTGAATTTTATACTTTCTACGGCGATTGTAGAAGAGTGGGCAAGGTCTAGGCTACTGCTGGCACTCAAGGTCACGAGTACAGCGCAAAGTCGCTTACACACACGTTTTCACAGTTACATTATTCCCGATAAAGTAAAATGCCATGAGTTATCTCGTAGCTGTTGCGACTGCATCCAAACAATTTTTATGATATCCACCAGCCATTTTGCCCCGGCATTGAAACGAATGGGGAGTTTCACGTAGCAACTTCTGCAGCATCGATTTATCCATAAAAATTCTAACCCCTCTCTCGTCCTCACCCTCGCCGGGCTATTACTTCCTGCCCGGGACTTGATCCTCGCTCGACGTATTCCACCAGTGCAATCTCGTCCCGACAATATACCTAGCCCAGAACAGAGGGTAAGTGCGTCACTCTCAGTTGAATTACCTCTTTTTCGAGAGGTAAGAATAAAAGGGAAAATCGATCTGTTGGAAGTTGTGGGGAAAGTTTTTTTAGGAATCATCCCCTGGTTCAGCTTTTGCTCCAGAATACCCTCGCCTGTGGCATTTGCAATCTGTCGTTTTTATTTTCAAAATTGGCGAACTTCTCTTTTAAGGTGCCAATGGAAAGCTCCCGTCGCTGTAGTCCCAGGGGCCTTATCCAGGAAGCCATGGATCTAAAAATCTGATATCTCCGGGTAGCATGGAAATAATATCATAATATGCAAACTGAGTATCCTTGAATAGGTTAAATCATAAAAGTTTACCGTATTTGCGTATTCCTCCTTTACAGAAGGGGAGATGATACTCGAACTCGTCAGTTTGCTCACCACTGGGAGGAAACTGCTGAGATGAACACATGCAAAGTGAGTTTATGGGAAAAAGCACTTGCTGAATCCTGAGGTCAGCTGCTGTATTTTCCCGTACGATTCTCCCCGGAAATGCTTGAAAATCGCGGAAAAATGTCCTCACCCCGTCCGTCAATAGTAAGAATCGAATAAAAATCATGCCCCAATTATTGCTACACTGGATATGACCCAATAAATATTCATTAACACTCAATATTATAAATTTTGTCCAAAATTCCCTGTCTAATGTTTAAGTCCCACCGAAAATTCAGATTTCCTGAGAAAAATCAATAAAATATAATCAAATTTATTGCTGATTGATTCTTATTGATTATTATAAATTATTAGGGGAAATAAAAGAGAACTGGGAAATTCAGTGCAGATGGTTTCCCTTTTTCGTAAAATAAATGATTTTCAAGCACTTGAATTACTAGTGAAGATTAGTCTCCTTGGAGGATGACCGAAATAGGGACAGTGTCCTGTTCTCTGTTTTCGGTTTATAGTCGATATCATCCAGACACTAACGTTGGCCGATAGTGTTCACTTACACGAGAGTAAAATGGAGATGCTCTGCTGTGTGAAACATGTGTCTGATATTGGGTGTGGGGCTGAAGTAACTTGGATCCTCCCTTTCTCCTCACGCTGAGGTTCTAAATTCAATTCCCGTGACCTACATTATGGAGTAGCTGACAGGGGTGGTAAAACACGTGTTTTGGGAAATGATGGGGAAGGGCGTGAAGATGATTCGATATTGTCCCGGGGTCAGAAGTTTTGAGTGTGTATGAGGATGATGTGATGGGAGAAATTTTGAGAAAATTTGTCTCATCGGTTTGTTTTAAAAAAAATCGATTTCGCTGATTGATTGGGACCGAATCCACAAAGTCATTAGATAATTAATGCAAGTAGTGATAATTAAAGGGTTGGTAATGCCGACGAAAGTAAAACGGTCGAGGGAAATATTAAATGAAATGGTCTTTAATTTTTGAGTAAATCAGGATGGTCTCGGTAGAATGGGATTGATGAATTATTCGTCATTTGAGCGGGTGACAACGCCACTGGTGCGAATGTGGAATGACAAGCAGAGAAGGGAGCACATATAGGGGTTGAACAAACCAACATAAAAGAGTGCGAATAAAAAAAAAAGTGGTATAGCTAGTGTGATGAGATGGCAGTGGTTGGAGGCATGGATAGTACGGTAAAGCCACCGATTGAAATTTTTATCGGCTTTGGTGCGTTCCCCGACGATTATTTATTCACGAGCTAACGAACGAAGTGCGGGGGAAAAAGTCGTCCCGTCGGCGCGAAAAATGAAAATTGTCAACGGATATGTGCAGTCGAATATGGGAAACAAGGAGAGTCTGTGGATAAAGTGAAAAATTGGGTGAATGAGAAAAATCGTCGCCGTAAAAAAATCTTACGACTGACGCGATAGAAATATACGATAATTCATCATATTCATCACTAAAATAATTTTAAAAAATCGGCAATGAAAATTTGAACATATTTTTGGTGTCAGGGAGTGAATGGACCGAATAATATTTTATTAATAAAATTTTCTACAGAAATTCTGTTAATTAAATATTTCAGGAGATCATGAAAAAAAAATCGTAAATTCAGTTTCTCAAAGTATTTCCTCGATTTTTCATCCCGACACGCCCCCGTCATTGATACCGATTCGATTCCACCCATGAAGTATTCACTTTTATGCGAATCGCCCAATTTTATGTGAATGAAACGGTTTTTGGGATTCAGCCAAAAAATAACTCGGTGAGCTCTTGTTTTCCTCGAGCATCATTCCCGACCCTTTTTCCTTCTTTTCTGAGTGAAATGAAATCTCGGGAATGGAGGGAGGGAATGGAGGGAGGGAATAGCGGGAGTAAAATAAATGGAGGTATATAAACGATGGGAGATCTGTGGGATCGAGCTTGGCCAATGACTGGAGGACTGGACGAAATGGTGGCTGGAGGGAAGAAACCAAGGGATGATATTATCGTCGATATATCCCATCGTGCTTTAACCTACATAAACCCAAAACTTCCAGCATATTCCATCCCGAGACGTGAAACAATCCTGGAGGGCAGGGCAATCCTGCTGGCGCCGAAAGACTCTCAAAAAATCCAGTCATCGTAAATTTTCAGTTTTCCCATCACGAGACAGTCTCCAGTATTTCCAACTAAAATAAACCCTCACCCGAGCTCACCCTTTCCACAACCTTAAAACAATTGTTTTCCATCCTAGAACAATTACTGCATTAAAAATCGACGAGAGAAAGGATAATTGCGAGGACTCGTAAAATTCTTCGACCTGATTTAACCGAATTTTCTAAAAATAAAATAAAAAAAAGTAAAAAAACGTTTCGATTATTAGTTTCTCGATAAATTATTTTAGTATTTCATCCATTATTGAACGAATGTTATTGTTGATATTCTCAATTGCGTAATTTCTTTTTTCCATTTTATTCTGCTCGTTTTTATTACGATCGTTCGGTATGAAATTCTGATTTTTGCGGGGCTTTCAAGACATGTGACCGCCCGTCAATTTAATCATCATCCACCCTGTCCATGCAATCTGCAACTGCATGTCAATTTATTGATTATTGCTGAACCAATTCCATGAATATTGAGTGTCCCACCCTGGCATTCCCTGGATACAGGGCGATCGATCACAAAAAGCCCTAAAACGGTCCACATACGTTGCGACGTCACGACGTCTCCGTCAGGGCTGTGAAAACACCCTCGGGCCACACACACATTCCCAACGCACTCAACAAAATATATGAATAAATAATTCCCGTAATTTCACATTGAATCATCAGATGAATTTTACCCCCACGTTACAGCAAACCCCTATTTTTTGCAATCGAATTCCCCAAAACTATAATACAATAAAATATTGTGGGAGAAATAATGTGGCAAAAATTTCATAGGCTGTGAAGATCTCCTTTGAAAATCGAGAAGTGGAGCCCTTGAATAAATATGAAAATAAATAGAGTCCCTGTAACTGA